CGAGTACTGAATTGAAAAGATTCATTCCCCGGGTGGATCTCTCGAGGAAGGCGGTTCGGAATCTAGAAGTGGTGTTGATAACACATAAACGAAAAATAATCCTAAACACTATAACCAGATTGGGGGTTGAATAATTACTTACTACGAAAGAAAACTCAAACAATGCAAAATCGAACTAAAAAGCAAAGACTAAGATAAAATGATGATAATTAAGAAGCTAAGGAGTCGGGGATGATGATTTTCTAACCAAGGTAAATATCAAGCTAAGGTCATTCGGTTAAATGATTCGAACAACCTAACGTCTAGAGATAGTCCTCAATAACTCTTCGTACTAAGAGGATAATATAGACGATAAATCAAAAAATCAAACAACACATAGACAATACGTTTTCGAACAAGTCTATTTTATGCGAGCCTAGATCGATCAACTCCTCCCCTTTCAATTCTAAGAGTTGATTAAATTATCCTAGATGATTGTTAATCTACTAGTCGTGAGATTTAAAAACATCACACAAGAACGATATATATTCAATTGAAATCAATTGTAATCGAAGTGTCACTCTTCGACAATATTCAACAATCAATGCATAAGAATTATAAACCCTAATTAAGCCCAACTCGCATAAATTGAACGATCAACAAAATCACAATTAAATTCTAAAATATCATCATCATCCCATATCCCTAGCGAAACGAATTAGCTACTCATATGGAATTCAAAATCAATCTAAACAATAAAAGTCATCATATTCATGGAAGATGAAAAGAGAAACTTATTATTAATAGAAATCCGATATTCGAATCCAATGACAAAGCTAAATCCAGAAAAGTAAAGAGAGAATTGAGCACAAAGAATGATCAAATCTAAGTTTTAGAGTATGAGAAAGAGGAAAAACAAGTTTGGAGATTATACCCACGAATCTGGGGATCGTTTCAATATATAGTACTCGAAAAACAGAGTTAAAACAAGAAAAAACGAGCAAAATTAAAAACAGGGGTCGAACGAGCAAAATAAAAATACAAGTCGCGAGTCGCAGGCTGCACTAAGCCACTTTACGTTTTGGCCTTTTTTGAGCTCGTCCGAACTCGGAATTGAGTGCTGTTTTTTCCTACGCGTCTCTAACGAACCCATCTATCCTATTATGCTCCGAAACCACTTTTTACTATTGAAAAAATTCTTCCGAAACTCCCGACCTATACACCAAAAAGAAAAGGCACAAAAAAAAAAACCGAAAAATCAAACGAAAAACACCTAAAGACTCAAAATAAAGGAAAACACATAGTAAAACACAAAGTGGACTAAAAACAAAAGAAACGACCTAAAAAAGGGGAAAGAAAAATCAAAACAAGTACGAAAAATGCAACAAAAATGGGACAAATACTAGGCTCCCTCTTATGGTGCGCTTCACTGCGTGGGACCACACCCCTAATGCCCCAATTATAAAAATGTGTACCTAATTGGGACCTACGATGATTTTTTTTTAAAAAAAAAATGTGTACCCGGTCTGGTTGTAGGCTTGGGCTCATGATGGACTCACAAGTGAGGAGGCGTGTTGAATATCACGTGAGTCATCCCACATTGATTAGATAGGATAAATGAGTCCAGTTTATAAGCTAGTGGACTACTCCTCTTATCATCAATTAGTTTTGAAAGGAAACCTCACTAAGGTGCAACTATATGCTCACCTTCTTATGGTACGATTCACGTTCTATCTTGACTTTCAAATTGATTTATCCAATTTTAATTGCAAATCATCGGGATATGTGCATTAATATAGTTTTAATTTGATTTTGGATGCATATTATAAGAAATTACCGCTCTTAATTACAACTTTCTACCTATATACAAACCATCTCCAACAACTTCTCAACTCCGGGTAATTAATATTACTTCTAAAAAGCATTGCATATATATGATCCAAAACCATAAGTTTGAAGAGCCCTTATATTCATATATTAAACAAAATTGACTTTGGTTAAGTCTTCTACAAGACTCCATGGCTTTAATATTTGTATCTAAACCAATTTTCCCAACGGTTATGCCCAATGTTTGGGGAGTATACGTAAGAATTTCTAATACTTGTTTATTTAGTGTACCAACTCATAGAATATTGTAACGATATATGAGGTGTAGGCGTAAGCCCTAATAAAATTAAATTTTTGCTAATTAATTGTTAGTAATCTATCAATTAATTAATAAATTAATTTGGGAGCTATATATTATATATCAGCTAGCCAACAACTATTGCGTATATTATTGTGTGCAATTGTCGGTAACACTACAAGAAAATGATGAATTTCCAACAGAAATATATTTTAATTAAGAAATATATATTTTTTTTAGTTACACCAACTAAGAAAAAAAGGTCGGGCGTTGAAATCATCTAATTCCATCTAAAATACCAACGAAAAACACATTCCAACGGAATATTTCCGTTGAAACCATTCCAACGGAAGCTATTAGAATATCCATTGAAATTTTCATTGGAATATATTATATTACCATATGATTTTTTGTTAGAATATAACAAATTTTTTTTTTGTAGTGTGATTTTGCACGACTAGTCATCTAATTAATGGGGTTGATAATTTCCATGCATACTGATCGAAACATATATTTCTCAATGTTTTTTTTACTGATGATTGTTTCTTCATATCATGTTTTAGTAATAAGTTTTTATAATGTATTTCCTATAATAATATAGAATAATGGTGACACGTAGTGTGACCAAGAAATAATATCCATTCATGTATTGTTGATTTGTTCTAACTTATTTCAGTATAAAATTAGTAGTTGCGAATAAGACAAATTGTATAGCGAATTATAAGGCATAATTAAGTAGATAAATTTTTCTGTCTCTCGCCACGTAATAATAATAATAATAGTATAAGTAAACTAGACATAATGTTTTCCTACTCACGGTTGGCACGGCCGGTTAATATGTTCACCGTTTACGTCGCATGCACACATTGATGATGTTAATATGTTCAAAAAAATACATCACCAATGTGTGTATGACACATAAGTGGTGGACATATTAACATGTGTCTACCGTGGGTAGAGGAACATTCCTCTAAGTAAACTAGTACTAGTAAAATATTCGAGAAACATTGTAGTTTATACTTTCGCCCTCAACCTTTTCGATCGTATCACAATTTAATTTAATTTGTTATACTATATTTGAATTTGTTATAATTTCACAGAAATAGAAGGAGAAAATTTCACTACAGAGAAAATCACACTATTCACCTATAAAATTGTGTTTATTTTCACATTTAGGAAGTCTTTTTTTTTTTTTTAATTGAAAACCTTTCACTATTTATGAATGACTAATTTGTGGTTTATTTTTGTATTTGGTTCATAAATTGCATTATTTTTTTCTTATTTATAACTCGTTTATAAATGATTTTTTAACGGTTTTATTTTTAATGTCGAAATTTTACAAAAGTTTCAAAAAGTGTAGTAAACGTATAAAAAGATAAAATAAAAACTAGAAAATTATACCGTTTACTTTCAAATCTCATTTTATATTTATATTTCCACAAAAATAGAACAATACAACTCATTTCCATGACCAGGAAAAAAGAAAGTGGAAAAAATCTCATTAACAAAAAGATAGTTTGATTGTTTGATTAGTGTTTCGTGATCGGATGTTTAATTATACATATTATTTGAGTTTATTTGTGGTATTTTATTACTTTTTTTTAAAAATTCTTGCAAATGGAGACACATATATAATATTCATTCTTAATTATACATATTACTAGTACAACACCCGTGTATTACACGGGTGTGTGCTAATTTTTTTCTTAAAATATAAAATTAATGAGAAAAATATTAGAAAATCTAAATACCTTTTATAAAAATATATATATTATTATATAGTTAATATGACACTTTTTATTTGTGCGACTTACATGCGTTATACCGTAATAATTTTTGTAACTTACAACAAATAACTACATTAATCATAAATATATCAATTTAGAAATAATTTTATTTTTCTAATGAATTTTAATAAATATTATTAATTTTTATTATTATAAAGATAAATATAATTTATTTATTTCATATATACAATATGGATGTCAAATCAAAGATCATCAAAAGATGATTAATTTGATATAATATATATGTAAAACCGATAAGAAATATAAAAGTTATCAACTTTTAAAATACATTTACAATTCAATAGCTAATTGGAGGAAACAAATCAAAAGTTAGGAATACATTAGTCACTTAGTGCCTCACTATATAAAATACAAAGAATTAAAGGGTTATATTAGTACAATTGATATTAAAATATCTAAGTTAGCTAAATAATATTTATGGAATGTCCAAACCTAAAAAATTATTTATTAATATATCAATATTATTTGTCCAAACCTAATTACGAAGCATAATTCTTCGCCAAGTAGGATTACGAAGCACCAGAAGCAGCCACGTAGACTCAACATATTCTGAAATTATATATAGGGAGGATTTGAGTTTATTGTTTGATTACTTTTTATTATTGTATTTGTGGTATTTCCTCATTTATGAATTATGATTGCCTAGGTCATTAACTTGGGTCACTCCAAGGTGAGTCCATTTGGTATTGGCTACAGTACCCAATTTTAACCTTTCATAAAATCAACAGAATGTGGACACTCTAATTTACATTATATTGTATCAGTCATAATCCCCAGCAGTACAATAAATTCTGCTGCACTAGTTAATAAATATACAGCATCACACAGAAAAATATATATATAATTCCACTTAGATACAAGAGACTAAAGTTTCACATTAGCACTATAATGATTCTATCGATTCCCAGGTCAAGAAAGAGTTATTTCATACTAACACAAATCTGCCATAAATCTGTACCATTCTTGACAGACTAGGATTAAACCAAATCAGTCGGGTCAAATATACAAGCAAACCTGTGCAAAGCTAAACACACAATCATTTTATGACGGTTACTTTTTACGAGAAAAATGCAGTCACTAGGGCGGACCTAAGACGCTGTCGGCATGAAGGTGTCATCATTCAACAAAGCTTCAAAATCGATCAGATCATCGTCAAAATCAACTTCAGGATTGTTCAAGACCTTATCATATGTTGCCTGCAGGCGAATTATGAAGATCAAATTATATTACACGTGAAAAGTTGAAATCCACCTCGGATTACATAAAATGATTAGGCATAACTTTTTGCTAATTTTATACACGAGGCTTGCTTGAAGGTATAGGTATTTTTAAGTTTGAAGAAGAAAAGAAAGAAGACAGAATCATATTGGACCTGAATTCATTAATTACAGGAAGATGCAAAACTTTTTTATATATAGATAAAGATGCAAAACCAAATAGCTCAGCTAGTGAAAAAAATAAATAAATAAAATAAAATATTAGAAAAAAATAGTTGTACCTTGGCTTCCTGCATTTCTGAGACAACATTCAGCAACCTGCGATATTGATCTCGGGCTTCAGGATATTGAACCATAGATTTCACTCTCGCAAGGGCCTTCTGCAATCTCTCCTCCGTCTTTTTCCGGCCTTCTTTTAGAAAATCATAGTCATCCTCATTTGTTTCTGTATCTACCATGCTAGAGTCCGTGGCTTGTGTTTCAGTTTTAAACCTGCTCAGTCCTCTTCCTTTCCTTCTCCACCGCAAGATGACCTTATCAAGAATTCCCACGGACCAGATTATCTTCCTGTAGTTTTTCCTAACCTGGTGTCCTCTCACATGAGCCTTTCCAGAAAAGCCAACAGTTAGCATATGACATTCAACTAAAATGGAATGCTTAAAAAAAACGCCCTTAAGATTTAGCCCCAATCACAAGAAAGCTCCACTCATCTTCTTGAGGTTTGCAGTTGCCTAAACAAAATCATCTTCTTGAAAGATGCAATTCAGAAAAGATAAAAGAATCTCAAAGGGATCGGAATATTGGAAGATAATAAGGTCTTTATGTAACTTGGCTAAATAAACTACTATTACCCCCATCCAGGATAGTTTGGAGGAAACTTCACACTGTTTAACTGTTTAAGATAGTATAATCAATGTACGGGTATAGTAGTTATTTTCCCTATTCTTCCTATTTGTCCTTTGCACTAAATGTAATTTTTCCTTTTTTCTATTACTCCAATTCCCAACTAAGTGAATCGTTCTTTTTAAGGAAAAGGTCAGCTAAATACAGGTAATTTAGTCTATTGTTGCGTACTTCAACTTCCAAAAAAAAAAAAAAAAAA